TAAATATAATACAAAAGGGAAAATTGATAAATTGTACTTCATTAAAATTAAACACTTCTCTCAAAAATTAATAAAAAGCAATAAACTGGGAGAAAATATTTGCAGATCATATCTGATGAAGGGCTTGTGTCCAGAACATATAAAAGAACACTCAAAACCCATAAGAAAACAACTCAGTTTTAAAAATGGGCAAAAGATTTGAGCAGATGAATCACCAAAGAAAATAGAAGCACAAGAAAATAGGGTCATTTGTCATTTAACAATAGGATACATTCTGAGAAATGTCACTAGGTGATTTTGTCATTGTAAAAATATTATAGAGTGTACTTCCACAAATCTAGATGGTGCAGCCTGCTATATACCTAGGCTATATTGTATGGCCTGTGGTTCCTAGGCTACAAACCTGTTCAGCATGTTACTATAGTGAATACTGTAGGCAATTGTAATGCAATAGTAACTATGTATCTAAACTTAGAAAAGGTACAGTAAAAATACAGTATTAGGCCCGGCATGGTGGCTCACACCTGTAATCCCAGCACTTTGGGAGGCCAAGGCATGTGGATCACCTGAGCTCAGGAGTTCAAGACCACTCTGGGCAACATGGTGAAACCCCATCTTTACTAAAATACAAAGAAAACTTAGCTGGGTGCAGTGGCGGGCGCCTGTAGTCCCAGCTACTTGGGAGGCTGAGGCAGGAGAATCGCTTGAACCTGGCAAGCAGAGGTTGCAGTGAGCCGAGATTGAACCACTGCACTCCAGCCTGGGCGACAGAGCAAGACTCTGTCTCAACAACAACAACAAACCAAACCAAACAGTGTTAAAGATAAAAAATGTAGCAGGCACTTACCATGAATAGAGCTTGCAGGACTCCTTGTTGCTCTGGGTGAGTCAGTGAGTGAATGCGAAGGTCTAGGACATTACTGTACACTACTGTAGACTTTATAAACGCTGTACACCTAGGTTACACTAAGTTTATAAAAAAGTAATTTTCTTCAATAATATGTTAACCTTAGCTTTTTGTAACTTTACAAACTTTATAATTTTTTAAACTTTTTGACCTTTTTGTAATAACACTTAGCTTAAAACACACATTGTACAGCTATAAAACATTTCTTATGTCCTTATTCTATAAGCCTTTTTTCTGTTTTTAGTTTTTTTTTTTTACTTTTAAAAATTTTGTGAAAAACTAAGACACAAACACACACATTAGGCTAGGCCTACACAGGGTCAAGATCGTCAATATCACTGTCTTCCACCTCCACATCATGTCCCACTGGAAGGTCTTCAAGGGCAGTACACAAGGAGTTGTCCTCTCCTCTGATAACAGTGCTTTCTGGAGTACCTTCTGAAGGATCCGGCTGAGGCTGTTTTACAGTTAACTTTTTTTTTTTTTTTAAAGAATAAAAAGAGTACACTGTAAGATAAGCATAGAAGTATAGTAAATCAATATATTAGTAACAAGATTTATTGTCAAGTATTATGTAGTGTACGTAATTGTATGTGGTATACTTTTAGATGACTGGCAGCATGGTGTGTTTACACCAGCGTCACCATGAACACATGGTGTTTGACAGTTATGATGTCATTAGGCTATAGGATTTTTTCAGGTTCATTGTAATTTTATGGGGCCATCGGTCACGTATGTGGTCCATTGACTGAAATGTTGTTATGCAGCATATGACTATCAACACATGAATGTCTGTGATCCATTTAAAATTTTTAATATGGGGTGGGGTATGTGTCCAAGGATTTTTATTTATTTATTTTTTTTTGCATATGAAAATATCTGAATCATTAGTCATGAGGGAAATGTAAATTAAAACCAAAATGAGAAACCATTACCCACATATTAGAATAGCTAAAATAGAAAAGACTGACCAGAGCAAATGTTGGAGAGGATTTGAAGGAACTGGATGGGGATGTCTCATATGTCTCATACACTGCTGATGGGAATGTAAAATTGTACAGCTCGGCCAGGTGTGATGGCTCATGCCTGTAATCTCAGTACTTTGGGAAGCCTAGGTGGGTGGATCACATGAGGTCAGGAGTTCTGAGACCACCCTGGCCTGCGTGGTGAAACCCCGTCTCTACTAAAAATTATACAAATTAGCCAGGTATGGTGGCACCTGCCTGTAATCCCAGATACTCAGGAGGCTGATGCAGGAGAATCGCTTGAACTCAGGAGCCAAGATCATGCCACTGCACTCTATCCTGGGCGACAGAGCAAGACTGTTTGAGAATGAATGAATGAATTAATTAATTAATAAATAGCCGGGCATGGTGGCTCATTCTTGTAATCCCAGCACTTTGGGAGACCGAGGCAGGCGCATCACCTGAGGTCAGGAGTTCAAGACCAACCTGGACAACATGGTGAAACCCCGTCTCTACTAAAAATAATTTAGCTGGGCATGGTGGCATGTGCCTGTAATCTCAGCTACTTGGGAGGCAGAGGCAAAAGAATCACTGGAACTAGGAAGGCGGAGGGTGCAGTGAGCCAAGTTCGTGCCACTGCACTCCAGCCTGGTGACAGAGCAAGACTCTGTCTCAAAAAAATAAATAAAATAAAAAATAAAAATAAATAATAAATTTGTATAGCTGCTTTGGAAATTCATTTGGCAATTTCTTTTTTTTTTTAATTAATTTTTTTTTTTTTGAGACGGACTCTTGCTCTGTTGTCTAGGCTGGAGTACAGTGGCACTATGTCAGCTCACTGCAACCTCCACCTCCTGGGTTCAAGCAATTCTCCTGCCTCAGGCTCCTGAGTAGCTGGGACTACAGGCGCACACCACCACACCTGGCCAATTTTTGTATTTTAGTAGAGACGGGGTTTTACCGTGTTGCCCAGGCTGGTCTCAAACTCCTGAGCTCAGACAGTTCTCCCTCCTCGGCCTCCCAAAATGCTAGGATTTTAGGCGTGAGCCATCGCACCTGGCCTGGCAATTTCTTAAAAAGTTAAATATACCTTCCATATGCTCTAGTAATTCTTCTCCTAGAGATGTACCTAATAAAAATGGAAGCCCGTGTTATCAGAAAGACTTCTATACCAGTCTTCCTCATATACAAGCAGTGTCAACCTAAAATAACCAAAAGGGTCAAAATCTAACCTAAAGAGGGTTTATTCAAGCACAAAGAGTAAGAATGGACCACCTGGAAACACCAACTCCAAAGGAATGGAGTCAGCGTTCTGAAGTAAGAAAGTCAAGATTTCATTTGTATAGGCAGAGACAGGAGTTTTTAGCAGGATTTCAACACTTTTCATACAAGATTGGCACAAAGTTACAGAAATTTGGTTGGTTATACGCAGTGTTTCTTTTTGGGAAAGGGTGCATTTAACATTTTTTACAGAGGGTGTAATACTCATGGGTTTTCTGTTATCTGGTCTCAGCAAAGCAGGACAATAAAGGGCAAATTAATCATAACAAGGGTCATTAAGAAGGCAGGAGGTTTTTGTCACTGTCATTTTTCTCTAGTCATTGTATAGAACAAGAAAAGAATGTGAGTTAATATATAATCTGAGAACAGAAGTTGTAACCATATGTACTCAGATTAGTCACATCTCTCTCAAGGCTTAACAGTATTTTTTTTAAGGTTCCAACATCTTTTAAATTTTATTTATTTACACATCAACAACTAGAAACAACCAAAATGTTTACCAATAATTGAATAGATAAACCAATTATAGTCTAAACCCACTTAGCAATAAAAAGGAGTGAATTACTAAGACATGCAACAACGTGGATGAATCTCAAAAAACTGAGCTGCAAGAAATAAGCAACACAAAAAATAGTACATACTGTATAATTCTATTTATGTAACATTCCAGAAAATGCAAACTAACTTATAGTGACAGAAAACAGATCTGTGATTACCCAGGGAAATAAGGCCGTGGAGGAGGGAGGAAGTAGAAAGAAGCACTAAGAAACATCTGAGGGTTTGGGTATGTTCATTATCTTGATCATGGTAATGGTCTCACATATGTCACACATCATATTGTATACTTTAAATATGTGCAGTTTATCGTATGTCAAATATACCTCTATAAAGCTCTTTAAAAATATGAGTATTGTGATTTGTCATACATACAACATTAATCCTTCAGAATTTAGCCTTGCACTAACTTTTTTTTTTTTTTTTTTTGAGACATAGTCTTGCTCTGTTGCCCAGGCAGGAGTGCAGTGGCGCGATCTCAGCTCACTGCAACCTCCACCTCCTGGGTTCAAGCGATTCCCCTGCCTCAGTCTCCCGAGTAGCTGGGATCATAGGCGCCTGCTACCACGCCCAGCTAATTTGTGTGTGTGTATATATACATATATATATATTTTAATATATATATATTTTAGTAGAGATGGGGTCTTGCCATGTTGGCCAGGCTGGTCTCAAATTTAGGGCCTCAAGTGATCCGCCCGCCTTGGCCTCCCAAAGTGCTGGGATTACAGGCGTAAGCCACCGTCCCCGGCCCTTGCACTAACCTTTTACTTAAAAATCAACCCATAATCAAAACAATCGAAAAATGCCTGGATTATATTATGTCCATTTCAGATTTCCCGTTTCCCAGTAGCACCAGGTCATAAGGCCACAGCTGTCTGGATGTGGCTCTATTTCGGGTATCAAAAGACGCCAAACACAGGGACAGTGAGTGCCTTTAACTTAACTCACAAGAGGTCACAGGAGGGTGACCTCCCGTAAAAGCACGCAAATGCTCAATGTGTGACTCCACCCCTCCTAAAAAGTGGTAAAGGCGTGCGATTTCCTTTGTGTGCACGAAAGTACAAATGATGTAATAATAGTCCACGGCCTGGCCTTAGACTCCACATCTGCCAGGAAAATTTAACTGTAGGGAGAGTGATGGAGGCGCTGTGAGCCTGGGGCTGAGAACATGTAGGAATTGGTTAAAAAAAAAAAAAAAAGTCAGTGTCTTTCTCCCGGCGTCCCACTTCCGCCTGCGTCACGTACCTGCGCCGGCAGCGCTCTTGCTTTCCTGTCCGGTGCGATCCCCAGTCACTGTACTTTGGGTCCGGCACGCTTGCCGTCTGCTTCGTGTGCCCTCACACCGGTTGCCCAGCATCCCTGCAGTTCGCGGTACAGTCTCTTCTAGGGCGCATGTATAGGGGCAGAGCGAAGTGAAGTCCACAGTTCTAGAGGTAGAAGGGGCGCGGGGAAACCACCTGGTGTCGGCCTTCCGCTTGCTGATCAAGAGCTTGCTTTAATGCCGCAGGCCAGCGCCCCTCACTGATAAACGTTTGGGACTGGGCCTCGGCCTGGAGGGCGTTCGTCCTCTCCTTGCCCTCAGCTCATATAGGAGGAAACCGAGGCGTGGCATTGGGCGAGAACCCTGGTGCCCTGACCGCGCACTTCCCGCACCTCCGCCGCCGGTGTCTCGTATCCAGCGCTGGCTGGAGCGCCTCAGCCCTGGCGCGGTGTAGTTATGAGCTGGAACTTCTGACACTGCCCCTTCCTTCCCCGTCCAGCCTGCCGACCATGCCCGCGGGCGTGCCCATGTTCACCTACCTGAAAATGCTGACAGCCAGTCTCCTGGCCATGTGCGCAGGGGCAGAAGTGGTGCACAGATACTACCGACCGGAGCTGGTGAGTGCGGGAGGGCTCATGTTTTATTTTTGAGCCAAATGCATCTCATTTCTTTGTTAATTACCCAGCCTTAAGCATTCCCTTACAGCAATGCAGATGCTCCTGGACCACTCCATTCTCCCTGTGGCAGCAAAAGTGATCTTAAACGAAATTAGGATCACATTTGCTCTGGGCCCAAAACCTTTGGATGGCATCCCATTGCATCTAGGGCAATGCATGGCCTGTGAGGTCTTACACAGTCTGGCCGCTGCCTACCTGTGGCCCATCTGCCACCATTTTACCAGTTCTTTCCCCTGTTAACATTCACACCTGCTTCCTTGCTGTTTCTCCAATTCATCAAACCTGTCCCCATTTCGGGGCCATTCTTTTTCTTATCCTTGGCATGTCCTCCTCCCTTCTACCCCCCAACAACTTGGCTTGGTTTCCTTCTTCAGAACTTCAAGTCTTAGCTCAAATCTCTCCTCCAGCAATGAGGGTCCTTGGGCTAGCTCCCAAAGAATTCCTCCTCTGCGATTCCGTCTCATCCTTTGTTTCCATAGAGCACTTGTCTGCAGTTCTTTGTCTATTCATTTGTTCTTTGTCAGTTTGCTTCAGTAGAATGTAAGCTCCAGACTGTGTCTGTCTGGTTCATTCTTGTATCTCAACTGCTTGGAATGTAGCAGACACTCAATAAGTGTTTGTCGAATGAAGGATGAGTGAATATAGGTATTCAAAGGAGGGAGAAATTTAAATTAATTTTAATAAGCATTCATTAAATTAGGAACTGAAATTGAAGGTTCTTTTCAGGAATTGTAGTCTTGGGGAGGTGGAGATGAGAAAGTATGGCGCAGATGATTTTAAGAATGTGCTGTTATGCTATAGGTGTGAATAGTGGTTTGGAGCACAGTATTGGGAGCAGTCATTTCTGTTTGGACTCTGCCTGGACAGGTAACACTTACAGAGAATCATTAGTGTTTCTTTTTAAAGAAATTTTTATGAAAAATAATTTTTAAAAAATTAGAGACAGGTCTCATTCTGTTGCCCAGGTTGGAGTGCAGTGGTGCAATCAGAGCTCACCGCAGCCTCACATTTCTGGGCTCAATCAATCCTCCTGCCTCAGCCTCCTAAGTAGCTGGGATGACAAGTGTGCACCGTCACACCTGGCTAATTTTTAAATTTTTTGTAGAGACAAGGTCTCAAAATGTTGCTCAGGCTGATCTCCAACTCCTGGCTTCAAGAAGTCCTCCCACCTTGGCCTCTGAAAGCGCTGGGATTACAGGTGTGAGCCAGTGTGCCTGGCTCCATTTGTATTTGCACTTATGTTGTATTTTTATTTTTTGAGTTGGAGTCTCACTCTGTCACCCAGGCTGGAGTGCACTGGTGTGATCTGATTTCACTGCAACCTCTGCCTTCTGGGTTCAAGCAAATCTCATGCCTCAGCCTCCTGAGTAGCTAGGATTACAGGCGTACACCACCATGTGTAGCTAATTTTTTCTATTTTTTGGTAGAGATGGTGTTTCACTGTGTTGGCCAGGCTGGTCTTGAACTCCTGGCCTCAAGTGATCCACCTGCCTCTGCCTCCCAAAGTGCTGGGGTTACAGGCGTGAGCCACCGTGCCTGGCCCATTTGTATTTTTAACATGAGTTAATTGTCACTACAATTTTGAAGGTGTAATTCCTGTTTTCACATGAGAAACAGATTGAGAAGAGTGAAGTTGATTTCTCAAAGTCACATAGCTTAATGAGGTGATTGAAGGATCTGAAACCCAAGCTTTCTTGTATGTCTCTTTTTCGCTCCTGTTCATAAAATAATCCAGTACTCTTGTAAAACATTCAAACTGAATTCAAGTATGTAGAGTAAAAAGTGAAAATCCCCCCTCTTATAACCTGCTTTCTCCTGTCTGCTCCCCACACGTAACTACTGTGTCTTGTTTGGGGAATATCCTTCGCCTCTTCTCACTGGTGTTGAATGCCCACTGATACGGGTTGGATATTTGTCCCTTCCAAACTGCACGCCAAAATGCGATCCCCAATGTTGGAAGTAGGGCCTGGTGGGAGGCGTTTGGGTCATGGGAACGAATCCGTCATGAATGGCTTGGTGCCCTCCCTGTGGTGATGAGTGAGTTCTCACTTTATTAGTTCACGAGAGCTGGTTGTTTAAAAGAGCCTGGCTTGCTCTCTCACTCCCTCTCTTGCCATGTGTTACACCTGCTCCCACTTTGCCTTCTGCCATGAGTTAAAGCTTTCTGAGGCCTCACCAGAAGCTGGACCAATGCTGGTGCCATGCTTGTACAGCCTGCAGAACCACAAGTCAAATAAACCTTTTTTCTTTATAAATTACCCAGCCTCGGGCAATGCAAAATGGACGAATGCACCTGTGCATGCGTGGACTCACACACACACAGTTTGTGGAATGTTTTTCCTTCATGTGAATAGGAGTTCATGTACACATTTCTCTGCAGCTTCCTTGTTTTGGTTAACATCTACATAAATAGACGTTTGTGTATATTAAATCTTTTTAACTATTGCATAGTATTTCATAATATAACTATGACATTTATTTGATCAATCCCTTATTGACATTTAGGTAGTACGTAGTTTTTGTACAAACAGTGCTGCAAGAGCTCTTTCTTACAACTTCAGAGTGCTTTTCTTTTGAAAAGGGTTCTATTGAGCATCAGGGATACCTAGTGGAGACAAAGTGACAAGAACCTTCCACAGTAATGCAGTTTAGTGTATAGCTTGTGCAGGAATAGACATCAGGCAGGCCTTGCAAAAGAAGGAATGCCTGGGATTTGCCCTTGGGAAATTGACCTTTGATTCACCCATTTCATTATAATTGGGAATGTGCAAGGGTTGTTACAGCAGCTACCTGTACCTTGGGAGGAGATAGAATGAAGCCACGGTCTTTAGAAGGGCCATATTGAAGGATCTAAGGCCGCCTCAGTTTGATTGGTTGGTGACATTGGCAATGAGGTATCTCTGTAGGAACTTGAAGGCCCAGGTGGCTGGCTGTGTGTCGGAAGCAGTGTGCTTCATTAACATTTATATGTTCTTTACCTAAGGTCTTTTGGTATTGCTCCAGCAATTACTGTCACTATTGTTAACCACTTTGTTCTTTGTAACAAAGCCGGATCACAAGTCCTTTAGTCTGAGAACTGGAAGGTCTGGGCAGAGTCGAACAGAGGAGACCATGATGACTGTCCAGACTTGTGCTTTAGTGCTGGGTTGGGGAGAACTGCTACAGGTGCTTTGTTTTAGTTGTCCATCTCAGATCATCTGAATAGCAAAGGAGACGACTCTGTTGTAGTTCAGGTTGAAAGCTAGGAGTTGTCTTTAATTCTTCTCTCATACTGTACATATCAGTAGATCCCATTGGATTAACCTGAAAAGTACATCCAGATGCTGCCTGCTTCTCACCACCTCTGTTGCTACTACCCAATTCAATCCACTGTCAGTTACTTTCACCTGTTGTTGTAATAGCTTTCTGACCTGTCTTCTGCCTTCCACTCTTGCTCTCCTGTGGTCTATTCTCAGCAAAGCTACCGTTGTCATCTCTGTACACTTGAATGAAGACATGCCACTCTTCTCAGAACTCTCCAGTGTCTTCCCATTTCAGCGTGAAAAACACTGGAGACTTTATCTCCCCACTCCCTTTTTCCTCTGCCCTTTTCTCCCCTTAACCTCCCCGTGAATACTTTGTGCCGGCTATACTGACAATCTTGCTTCTCCTTGAACATGAAGCCACACTCCTGCCTTAGGTCCTCTGCACCTGTGGTTCCATCTGCCTGAAATGCTCCTAGGTAACTGCATGGCTGACTCCCTCATCCTGTTTCATGTCTTTGTTCAGAAGTCATCTTCTGAACACCAGTAAGTACACAGAAAGATGCTCAGCACTATTAGCCACCAGAGAAAGGCAAATCAAAACCACAATGAAATACCACCTCATATCCACTACAATGGCTATAGTAAAACAGATAGTAACAAGTGTTGTCAAGGATGTGGAGAAACTGAAAGCCTCACGCGTTGTTGATGGGAATATAAAATGGTGCAGTGGCTTCAGAAAAGCCTGGTAGTTCCTCAAGCAGTTAAACATTAGAGTTTCCATATGACCCAGCAATTCCACTTTTAGGTTTATGCCCAATAGATGTGAAAACACATATCCACACAAAAACTTGTATATGAATATTCAGAGCAGTATTATTCATAATATCCAAGCGGCGGAAAATCCAAATGCCTTTTAGTTGATGGATAGATGGTATATCCATACAATGGAGCATTATTGAGTAATAAAAAATGAAATACTGATACAAGCTACAACATTGATGAACCTTGAAAACATTACGCTACATGAAAGAACACAGAGGACCACATATAATATGATTCAATTTATAGAAAATATCCAGAATAGGCAAATCTATATAGACAAAAAGAAGACTAATAGTTGTCTATGGATATGTGGGGGAGGGTTGTATGGAAATGAAAGTGGCTGCTAATAAGTATGGGGTTTCTTTTTGGGGTAATGAAAATGTTCTAAAATGTATTGTGGTGATAGATGCACAACTCTGAATACCTTCCTTGAATGCAAGGATTTTGTATTTTTTTGCATACTGCTTTATGCTTTGCATATAATAGGCACTTAATATTTTTGAATTAATAAATCAATTCCTAACGCTTATTTTCTATGCCATGCACATGGTAGAGAGTCAGTAGATGGTGCAGGAGTGAATTTCCAAATGTGGAAAGTTTTATTCAAAGCTGTGAACCTGTCCATTGATTGCGATGCCAGCTATCCTCTGTGAGTCCTGCAGTACGTAATACCGAAGACCTTGCCAGGATGATAGACTCATAAACACAGGGTTAGAGAGGGACTTAGATCAACCAGAGCGTCTCATAATAAAGATCTATCATTGAGTAGCAAGTAGGGGAACTTTTTGTTATTTTTTACTCTTTAAAGTCTTTCAGGTTACATTGAATTGCAGCCTTATTAAGGGTTAGAAATTTGTGTTTTTTGTTTTGTTTTTTTTGCAGACAATACCTGAAATTCCACCAAAGCCTGGAGAACTCAAAACGGAGCTTTTGGGACTGAAAGAAAGAAAACACAAACCTCAAGTTTCTCAACAGGAGGAACTTAAATAACTATGCCAAGAATTCTGTGAATAATAAGTCTTAAATATGTATTTCTTAATTTATTGCATCAGACTACTTGTCCTTAAGCACTTAGTCCAATGCTGACCGCAAAAGGAGGTGCTCAGTGGATGTTTAGCCTATACGTTGAAATTTAATTATGGTTTGATTGATATTTCTTGAAAATCAATCAAATATGTGCCAAAGCACATATCATCAGACTCATGAATATGGTTTGAAAGATAGTCAGTCTTGAATATAATTTGAAATAGAATATTTGTAAGTCTACTATGTGGGTTGTCTTTATTTCATATAAATTAAAAAATTATTTAAAACTATGAACTAGTTTCATTAATTGAATTTGCTAAGTGGAGTTATTTCTCATTGCTAAACTATTTTCAAATTCTAGATCTCTGCTAACTTTAGTAAATGAACACCAAAGTGGTGAGCTTTGATAATGCATTTTGTGGATACAAAATCATCGCCTCATCACTTTCTAGAATGAAAGGCTGGGGGCATTGCTCACCTTTTGCGTGAAGAAAAGACCCATCCCTTAGGGCCAGTTTGTGCTTAAGGGGAGGACAGACCATCACTCAGTGGACCATGTGAATGAATGGATGCAGTGGATGCTTTAGAAGTACCGCATTTTACAGGTAGAGTAGGTGGCCTGGCTACTGAGGGAAAGAGTCATGATTTGAATCCGAGTCTCCTGTAAGACAATGACTTCATGAAGGTGAAAAATCAGTTTTATGGTTATTAAAATAAAAAATTTACCTCAGGTCAGGTAAAAATGCCATCTTTGTTTCATTAAGTGCTGGTTCTAAGTGACTTCCAATAAGATACATTTTCTTCCTGTTTTAAAGTTGATCCCTATTGTGAAAAATATACATTGTAGTGGTCATGGAAATGCGCCATCCAGACTCCCTAAGGAAGCTTGTTGCCCTAGCATCAAGCATGCCAGGAGCTTTCAATGGTCAGCTTCTGGAAGGATTGCCTCAGCTACGGTGGCCTTGCTCAAAGCCATGCCTCCTGAAGGGGCCCAAATCCAATGACTGTTGGAGGTGAGAATAGAAAGCCCTGGCCACTTCAGCACATGAGTGGTGGGCAACTCTGATGGGCCCACCACAACTCCCTGTGGGGTTTATGGTCCCTGTCTTTGGATCTGCGTTGCAGCTCGACTTCTCCCTCAGCTCGGTCCCGTTTCCTTTCTCAGGTGTTGATCAAAGGGTGCGCCTTCATAGACCCTCTGCTAGACTGCATCTCAGTGTTTCTTAGAGAACCAAATCTGTAACATACATGCATTAAAAATTAAAAGCAGTACTATATTATCCCCTAATAATGATGTTTTTTAACTTAAAAGGCCGAGATAGACCAGTTGCAACCTGTTTGGTAATTAAATTAGGCCAGTTAAACAGTTTTTGTGCAAGATAGGTATGATTGAGCTGTTTATTTTTATCAAAAACTGAAGGAGTATGATGCTTTCCTGCTAGGAACAACAGAAATTTAGTAATTATAGGATTCCGAGGAGCAAAAGTGTCAGATATCACTAATTCAATATGATCTGATGGCTTTGATTTCTACAAGTATATCACAGCAGTATTAACAATGGTAATGCATAGTGGCCCCAAAATGGGAAACATTACAAGTAGCAATTAATACAAGCCTATATCATAAAAGGAAGCTATATATACCTTAATTACAGCATGTTTCTGTAACTGAGCTGCCATTCTACTATAAAGGAAAAAGCAGGGTGGTTTTCAGAAGACGTATACGCAAGTAGGGAAGCTGGTAATAATTGCAAACTAATTCTAGAAAAATAGCTTAAGGTAGGGGGTGGGGAAGCATGAACAGAAAAGTAAGTCCATAGAGGAGTACTAGATCATCAGAAAAACTGTAAAGTCTCTAATGAAACTTTGTAGCACATAAATTAGTTCCTGCAAAATTTTCTAATACACACATGATCCTTGAATATACAGCTAAGACATCTCTAGCCCACAGTAAAAACAACAACAACTTAAGACTACCTTTTCAGTCGGCTCTAACAGACTAGTGAAATTAAACATTGTTTCATAAACAAGAGTACATTTCAAAATATAGGGCAATGTGGATTTTCACTCAATGCCAATAGTTATCTCTGGTAGGATTATAGGTGATTTTTTTCAAAGACAGCTTTTTTTTTTTTAAGTTTAGATTTACAGAAAAATCAGTAGCGTTCCCATATACCCCACGCTGTTTGTATGAATGTTGTCATCTTAAACTACCATGGTATGTTGGTTAAGAAACCAGTATTGGGGGCCGGGTGTGGTGGCCCAACACTTTGGGAGGCCAAGGTGGGCGGATCATTTGAGGTCAAGTTCAAGACCAGCCTGGCCAATGTGGTGAAACCCCATCTCTACTAAAAATATAAAAATTAGCCAGGCGTGGTGGCGGGCGCCTATAATCCCAGCTACTCAGGAGGCTGAGGCAGGAGAATCGCTTGAATCCAGGAGGTGGAGGTTTCAGTGAGCCAGGATCGCGCCACTGTACTCCAGCCTGGGAGACAGTGATGCCATCTCAAAAAAAAACCAGTATTAGTAAAATACTCCAAACTATACTCTAGACTCTGGACTTTAGATTTCACCAGCTTTTCCATTTAACACCCTTTTATTTCCAGGGTACCACACTGCATTTATTAATAGTTGTCATGTGTCCTTAGTCTTCTGCCATCCATGATTACTTCTCAGCCTGTTTTTCTGAGGAAAATTTTCTGGAAATTTTGAAGAATACTGTTCACATATTCAAAATATGTCTGTTTTTCTCATTAGATTGACATTACAGGTTTTTGGAAACCGCAGTACACTTCACATCCTGTCAGAGGGGTACACATCACTGGTGGTATTAACATTGATCACTTGGTTAAGTCTGCCAGGTTTCTCCACTGCAAAGTTACTTTTTCCCTTTCCTATACTCTGTTTTTTAGGAGTCACTTAATCTAGCCCACATTCAAAAAGGAGAGGAAGATTAAGCTCCACCCCATGAAAGGGGGAGTATCTACATACATTTGGAAATCTTTAAGGAAATTCTGTCTTCTCCCTGTGGGAGACTTTTTGAAGTCTTTGGTTTTTCAACAGTCTCAAGCTAAGTTCAAATAATCCTCCTGCCTCAGCTTCCTCAGGAGCTGGGTGGGACCACAGGTGTGTGTCACCATGACTGGCTCAACCTTTTTTTTTTAAATCTTTTCTTGGGAGGCAGAGGTGGATGGATCACAAGGTCAGGAGTTCAAGACCAGCCTGGCCAAGATGGTGAAACCCTGTCTCTACTGAAAATACAAAAAATTAGTTAGGAATGGTGGCGGGCACCTGTAATCCCAGCTACTCGGAAGGCTGAGGCAGAGAATTGCTTGAACCCAGAAGGCAGAGGTTGCAGTGAGCAGAGATGCTGCCATTGCACTCCAGCCTGGGCAAGAGCGAGACTCGGTCTCAAAAGAGAAGTAAAAAGTAAAAAAATCTTTTCTTCATAAGCCTGAGTTACTTTTCTAAGAAAAAGAACCCAAGACACATGATTAAAAAAAAAAAACTCAGCCAAGTATTAGGCAGTTCTCTGCAAGACAGTCAAGACACTGAGTATTTGGGATCTTTTTTATTTTTATACACATGACAAGATTTTACATCAAGAATAGTCAGTTAAATAGTACAAATTTACATTCATGAGGAATGTTAAAAAAAATTCAACTAAAAAACCCACTTCTTCCTGTGACCCAAAATCCCACATTTTACAGTGCAGGGGAGAAGGGGATTGGTGGGGGGCATCCAAACAAGTCTCTCCCAGAAGAAATGACGTCAATTTCACATTCCCTCTCCACACAGGATCCAAATGGTGAGAGGATAATTTACAATTCATCTTTTTCAGCTGTAGATTCCTGTTGGAAAAAAAAAAAACAAACCCGGAAGATATTAACAGTTAGCAGAAAAAAAAACCTAGCTGACAAAAGGCTTGTGCATGAAACAGTTTAAATGCTAGTCTGACTTCTGTAAGTTACAGTCCTAACTTTGCCAGAACTGAAACTCTGTCTTAACTTTGCCAGAACTAAAACTCTGTCCTAACTTTGCCAGAACTGAAAATGCAAGTCACATTCTTGATTTGCTCTACCTTTGCTGTTTCTTGTTCTTCTTCATCTGTTCCCACATCCATTTCTTCATCTTCGTCTTGCTCTGTGTCTTCTGTCGTGTCTTCTGTTGTCTCTTCAGGTTCTTCTTCGGGCTCATCTTCCACCTAAACACAACATTTATGGGCCCATTAATGCCTTGGATTTATTTCCACTTTGCTCATTTAAATGTATAAAATCATAATTAATGCCACTTCTGTTTATTCAGAACCACAGAGTAAATCCTCTAACTAAATGAACAGCCAAGCTAACAAAAGGAGGCAGGCAAAAAGGAAAGAGGACATAAAAGGAGGACTTAGTTCCTAGTGCAGTGCCTGACACTACAGGGATTCAAACATTCAATAAAATTCTTTCAAAAGGTAGAAATTAGGCAAATGTCTCAAAGCTACATCCCTCAATCATTAGAGGCCTATTCCGAAAGAGCAGAAACAAAGCCAGCCAGCCTCTGTGGGAAGGTTGGGGATACAAACCTTTGCATCAGGGTCAATGTTCAAACTGAGGCGAAGCATTCTTTCTATTCTATCTCCATATGCTTTAGTGTCTGGTAAAAGATATCCTGACCGAAGCGTTGCTGTTTCAAACAAAACTACAGCAAGATCCAAAACTGTTTTATCATCTTCATCTTCCTGAGATGCAAGAAGATGCACTAGATTAATATTGAAAAATACAAAGTATTCATATTAAAAGACAAGCAAGAGGACTACTGTAATACTACCTTAATTCGTCGAAGCATGTCTCTGATCAGCGGGTGTCTGGGATTAATTTCAAATGTTTTCTTCTGACTCGCATAGTAACTGTTAAGAGATAAAAATGAACATTAACAAAACATATCCAATTTTAGGGTTCATACATTTCCCTTATTCTTTCATAATTACAGAGGACAACTCTTGGTAAAAAAATCAAAATGTACTATTGACACTTGAACACCACAGGTTTGAACTTATATGCTATT